GTTGTTGAGAAATCTTCGCTCAAAGTTTAAAAAATTCAAAAACACAATTTACTAATAGACGAAACTGTTTCTTTCTAAACTTTGAGCGAAGTTTTCTCGATGACCACCTGACCAAATTCGATCAATTTTTTTTTATTTTAATTATACACATTCGTAGAATTAATATAAAAAAATTTCATCGAATTTTATCAGGCGCTTATCGAGAAAATTTCGCTCAAATTTTAAAAAATTCAGAAGCACTTAATTTATTAACAGACAGGACAGATTATTCCAAACTTTGAGCAAAGTTTTCTCAACATACGTCTGACCAAATTCGACGAATTTTTTTTTTTTTGTTGTAATCTTACGAATGTGTATGATTAAAATAAAAAAAGACTCTTCGAGTTTGGTCAGGTAGTTATCGAGAAAACTTCGCTCAAAGTTTTAAAAAATTCAAAAGCACTTTTTACTAATGATTCCTTCTAAACTTTGAGCGAAGTTTCTCGACACATACTTTACAAAATTCGATGAATTTTTTGTTTTTTGTTTTAATTATACGAATGATAGAATTAAAATAAAAAAATTTTATTGAATTTGGTCAGGTATTTTCAAGAAAATTTCGCTCAAAATCTTAAAAAATTGTTTACACGTATCTTAACCCATGATGAATTTTGATTGGTCGGGTATGCTTAGATCGTCAGACATCAAAAATAACATCTTCCCCAATATCGCCACCAAAAAGTTATGGACACATGACCGTATTTGCGGCACATCAAAAAATGCTAGGGTTAGGGTTAGAAAAGTTTTAATAGTAAAATTGCTCAAGAAAAACTTTTTGTTAATATAGTTTTCTATCTAAGTTTTTGAGTTATAGGTGATTTTTGACAAAGCGAACATTTGTTTTGAATTTGGGGAGGTTCGACTGTATAACGATAATACAGTAATATTTAAATAATTTCATTAGACCGATCAAATTATGTGCACTTTGGGAAAGTGCATTTTTAAAAAGTGCACATATGGAGTGCCGACTGTATATCATTTATCGCAACAAATCATGTGCTACATTAGCGTTAGGATGTGCGTTAATTCGAGACATTGTTTCGAAATAAGAGTAAATCCAATACAGTCAGCCTTCCATAACTGCACGTTTTGGGGGTAAAAGTGCATTTATAGAATATTCATTTATGGTGCATAATCTACATATAACGATATTAAATAATTTCATTAGACCGATCAAATTATGTGCACTTATCATTATAGGGAAAGTGCATGTGAAGTGCATTTATATAGAGTGCGCATATGGAGTGCCGACTGTATATCATTTATCGCAACAAATTATGTACTACATTATGATGCGCGTTAATTCGGGACGGTGTTTCGAAATAAGAATATTCATTTATGAAGCATAATCTACATACAGTATAACGATAATATTAAATAGTTACATTAGACCAATCAAATTATGTGCACTTATCATTATAGGGAAAGTGCATTTATAGAGTGCACATATGGAGTGTCGAATGTATATCATTTATCGGGTATACCCGACAAACACTTCACCGAAAACCATCTCCTCGATAACCATTTCCCCGACATGACCATTTCCCAACGTGACGTGTCGGAGAAATGATTGTCAGAAAAATGTCGGGGAACTGAAGAATTAACGATATACCTTAGTGTCGTCAAATTTAATATTGCAAAATAGATTTAAAATTAAGCTAAACTAATGTTTAGTTTGTAAAATAATTTGATAATTTATTATTTAAATTAATTTTTATTGTCCGGAGCGGAGCGAAGCGAAGAACACGTTTTTACTACGACTATGATAAACAATATCACTTGATTATGGGTGTTCTCAAGCAGCACGCTCGATGTAATTAGCTATTGATTGAAATAGTGCTCAACCATTATGCTATTCTTGAGAACCGATAGTATGATGTTGAAGACCGATACGTAGTATGGACGATTATATGATTGAAATACTAATTTATTATGATTAATCAAAATATTGATTGCAATTGATGCTTGAGCAAACGTCTTTATCATTACTACCATTTAACAATTATTATTTTACAAATAGAAATAAAAAAAAAATTAAATTAATGAAAACGATGGATCAACGAAAGGATAAAGAATCTACGACACTTCCAAATTCTGTTATTTCTTTTTCAGAATTTACTACGAGTCAACAGAACACAAAAACGAGCATTTTTTTATTTGCGGCGAATATTTTTAGCATAAGTAATAAGGTAATAATAATTTATCGACGTTGATAATGATTTTGAAGATCCATAACGATAACGGATAATAATGTAAAAAGAGTGAAGTACTTGAACAATTATTTTTCTAATCAATCAATGAAAATTTCGATCAAATAAACGCAACTCTATGATAAAAAAAGGACATCTGGACCTCTATCTCTTGTTGATTGGAATTATGAATACCCTTGATCAGTTAAACGAACTTTTGCTAATAAAATTTTTCTTTCTGACGTATTAAACTTTCGTTACGTGTTTATTCATTGGAATAATCAATACAATTGATCGTTAACCCTATTTTTTACTAATAAAAATTTACCGTTCCGATGGGTCGATTAAGGTGCTTGAGAACACTCTATTCACAATCGATCTATTTTCTTGATTCTCTAAATAATTATCTGTAATAAAAAAAAATAAATTAATGAAAATGTTCATCAAGTAGAATTTATGAGTAATAGAAAAACGTAAACATTCTTATAAGAAACTTCATCAGATTGTATTCCTTCTGCGGAATCAAAACGATCTTTGCCAAATAGAATTATAAAATAATGGGTGACTAAGAAGGACGTTCACAGATAATTCTGCGGCCACGATGCGCTTCCAGTTCTTAATCATGGTATTGCTTGAAATCACCCTCGCTATATTGCTTTGGTTAAGATACACCCCCCTTGCTATATCTTTCAAAACAAAATAGTTTAGGTGACCGTACCAAGGAGTCCAGAACGAAGGGGGCCTTAAAAGGTACAGTTGGATTATCCCCGGATATCAAACAAACCATATACCATCATTTATATAATCTATTAAAGCAAAGTCATCTTACACTACATTGTTCCATAAAATGACCCTCTTCACTTATCGAAAAACAAGTAACGTAGACGAACTCGTAACGGGCAATCTGAAGGAAAAGGGATTTAACTACTACAAAACTACCTTACTGCCTTATGCGATTCTAAAACTTGGTTTCGTCGGTTATAAATTGGTCAAATCACTGAGATCTGTTTTAAAAATTTTTAATTGATCTTTGTCAAAACAATAGAATTCTGCAGATCGTTTGCTCAAGGCCAAATGATCTGCAAATTTGATTAAAAATTTTTAATTGATCTTTGTCAAAACAATAGAATTCTGGTCAAATTGCAGATCGTTTGCTCAAGGCCAAATGATCTGCAAATTTGATAATTCTAACTAAAATTACCAATTTCTTGATTTGCACGAATATGTAAGAGCATTTTGAATAATTGTCGGGAAAATAGTTGTTGAGTCGGGTAAATAGTTGTTGAGTCGGGTAAATGTAGGTAAACCAATTTATCGCAACAATAAAATGTGCACATTAGGATGCGCGTTATTTTTGAAAGATCCGATTTTCAAAATAATGCCCACGAGCGTTATTTAGCGCTTATACGGTAATTTTTCGAATGAAATCCGTCCAATTGCATTCCCAGGGTTCCAAGCAGAAATTTTTTGATGCAATTATTAATATTCACATTAATATTCACATTTTTACTTGTTGGAATCACATGCCAAACACCATGCTTAAACGTGTTGTCTTTATTATAATGTATACTTTTCCGTATTTAGTTACTTTAATCGTTGTCAAATACAGTATTATCGTTATATACATTTTTTATATCATTTAAAAAATTTATTGTAATAATCTGAAAGGTATAAGTTAGTAGTAAATAAATGGTTGTAAACATGAATCACTTTTTTAATCCACCGATTAATAGATCATCTTTATATTCGCCCACTAAATCAAGGTGAATGACGGCATACGATATTAATACAGCATACAACACTTATACGACATACGGCATTTATACAGCATGCGGCGCTTCACTTTTACGGTCAAGCGTAATGTCTAAAAAGAATTCATTCAATTAGGAGTCTGTCGCCATAACGAATGATAATACAATAACTTATCTACAACTTACAGGCTTAACGTTTATTATTAAGCAAGGCCTTCTAACGTTTAGAATATCGAAATTATCGATTAATCTAAACTTTAAATTCATTATGTACTATCAATTAACTGTCGTATTTCAATAATCAATTAAATGCATTATATGCATTATCACGGCGATACAGCCGATAAAGTATAAATTAAAAATATCGAATGAGTATACACGGATCGGTATATTTTTGACAATTTAACATTTTAAAACAAATTTATATACATATACATATGCTTATGATACGTATAAATTTTTTATACAGTATATATATCTGACAATAGTACGTATAAATTTCAAGTAATACTGTAATACGTAATGTAATACGTATAGGTAAGTGCGTACGTATCGGTAAGTACCGGTATCTGATTTTAGTTATTTTCGTTAAAACAATTAAAACAGGCAATTCCTGGTTTTATTACATATTTTTAAGCAAGCACATAATCAAACTATATATTTTAGTTAAAACAGGCAATTTCTGGTTTTTATTACATATATATTTTTAAGCACATAATCAACTATATATATTTTAATATATATAGAATTGAAGGTCTTGAAATAGATTAAACTATCGCTATACGTAGAATAATTCGTATAACTAAAATAAATCAGTCTTATCGGGTACGAGAAACCTTGTTAAAACAATTGAATCAAATTTCCAAAAAAGGAATAAATTTATTATATATTTTTTTTACGTATATGTAACATATACATATATATATATATATATATATATATATATATATATATATATATATATATATATATAATTAATATATATTTAATAATTTAATAGTAATAGCTTTCGACTTTTTAATTAATTCAAATAATCACATGAAGTTGGTTTGGTTGGAGGACAAAAGAATGGACGATTTCTACCCGGACGCGATATTCTTATACTTCCAATTTCCATATCTTCATAAGGTGGTATATTAACATCAATATCAACTACATCATGTTCATCTCCACAATTAACAAAACTTAAATCATCACATTCTTTGGAATTTCCACAGTCATCAGATTCTTTAAACCCTTCATAATCATTACAATTACATCTTTTTCCATTATGATTGCAATTATTATTATGACATCCCTTTCCGCGATAACAACGCTCATAATTTCCAAGGTTGTTACGTTCTTCAAAGTGACCTTGATTAATGGAGTTAGAGGATGAGTCAAAGAAACGAGGTTTGTGGCATGACCGATAGAAAATTGTAGGAGTGATTATTGGTACGAATAAGGTATAAAGAAATAAACAACATAAAAAATTGGAAACTTTGTGCATTGTTATGACCTAAAAAAGTAATAAAATCGAAAATACGTAATACGTATATAAAAGTGTTAAGAGATTAGGCGAGATAATGATTAAATGAATCGACTTAAAAGGAATCTAATTCATTTCACACATATTAAATAGATTTTTCTGAATCATTTTTTCGTTCAAGAATACATAAAATATAATGCATCAAGTTTACGTATATGCATCAAATTTTTTGCATTAACTTATGCAGTTATGATATGATTAACTATTTTTCAAATATTGATAGACGAGTAATTACATACATACATACATACCAGATACATACATACGTACGTACGTACGTAGTATGACATGTTTTTTTGAATTGATTCTCATGCTAACTCAACTTGATATACAACATTCTGTGCATGTGTGATATAATGCAATTCCCAATAAAGAATAGTTATTTGGTGGCTTGTAATGTTCGTGATTTTAGGCTTATAAAATACATCAGTTCTAATATCGAAAAGTTTAAAAAAATTTTATATAGTGATAGCGATAGATATGAAAATATTAACGTAAATACCAGTAAATAATTATTAACGTTAACATGAGTCATTTCTAATAGATAATAAAAATCTTGAAAAGTATTAGTATAGAAAAATTATCAAATGTTTGAGACAAGTTTATTTCCTTTTATAGCAGTTAAATTTTTTTATTTTAAAAGATGGCTTAGCAAGAATGTTTTTATCTCGGGAACTCACTTACGTGTAAGTTCATTCTACGAACCGAATATAGTACGCAGCATTACCCAGCATTACCCAGCATTACCCACGTGGACAATTAAAAACTCCCAAGCCATCTTTTTTTCTTTGTTGCTCGAAAACGTTATCACTTAAATTTTTTAATGCTCTTATCTTTAAAAAATTCTGATAACAAATTCGTGTATATATATGGATCAAGAGTACTCTTAAAAACAAATGTAAATTAAAATAACCTTAATTTTTTAATGGGTAAATCCTTAAAAAGAAAATTATTTAAAACTTATATCACAAGACTTACATAAAAAGTAAAGCTATTTTTTTTTTATCAATTCCTCCTTTTTTTTTTTTTTCGCGTATCATTCTAGTCTTATTTCTATATCAATTGATTTGAAGAAAAAAAAAAAATGTCTACAAGCATATTAAAAAAACTTTGGAATAAACTATCCACAGATTATTTGTGTTTATTAAACCAACAAGAATATTGTGATGTAACTATTAAAGTTGGAACAAAATCAAATTTTCGAGTTTTTAAAGCTCATTCATTAATATTGAGAAGTAGGTCTCAATATTTTAAAAATGCTTTGTCAACTTGTTGGAATAAAAAAGATGATGATGGTTTTTTTCAAGTTGACCTAACGAATATATCTGAAGGTGTATTTGACAAAGTTCTTATGTGAGTATTTAATTGTAATAAAATTTATATATATATATATATGTATATATATATATATAAATATATATACATTTCAATTTTTTCGCTAAAAATTTTTTATTATAATAGATATATTTACGGTGGTTGTTTACCCCTGGATGAAATTAAACCTTGCGAAAAATTACGATTAATGGTCACAGCAGATATGTTGATGATGGATGAATTCATTGACTATCTTGAACACAACATAATTCAAAAAGAAAAATATTACATCGCAAAAGAAACAAATAAATTATTACTTGTGTCGACTCAAATACCCCGTTGCAAAAAATTATTAAATGTCTGTCAACAATTAATGTTACGTAATCCGATAACGTTTATTCGATCTGTGGAATTTCTATCGGTATCACGTGAATACATTCGAGAATTACTTGAGTTTAATGTTCTAGGTCTCGATGAGGAATCTATTTTTGATAGTATTATTAAATGGGGTATTCATAATACTTGTGAATTTACTTATGAATTAGACTCAGTGGATATAATTGATTATGTAAAGAATTGGTCTGTCGATCAATTTGAAGCATTACGATCAACAATCAAAGATCTTATTCCTTTGATTAGATTTTTCAAGATGGATTCATGCTTTTTTAATGAGAAATTCGGTCCTTTTAAACGATTAATTGATTATGAATTATATAATCAAATAATTGAATATCATAAGAATCCAAATATTTTATCTTTACACAAAATTTATCCATTTAGATTAAATTCAACTTTAATTTCGGAATTTCATATATCTACAATTTCTTCTTGGATTGAAATACCTGAGGATCAACGTGATCAATATTCATCTCCACCTATTATAAAGAAATTGCAAGGTGATGATAACTTTAGTTCTTTACCATTTGAGTTTGATTTAATATTTCGAAGTCAGGGAAAGAGAATTTCAGATTGTTTATGGCGTCAAAAAGTTCACAATCAAGGTCCTACTTTGACGATTATTAAAACTGTTAATCAAGGAATATTTGGTGGATATAAATCAGCTAGTTGGAAAGAAAAGAAAATAACAAAAGGAAAACATAATAAAATAAAAAAAATTGAATGTGTGGATGGTGGTGATGGTTTTGTTTTTCAATGGTCTGATAATAATTCTTTTTATGATGATAAAATTGTTTGTTTAAAATTACAATGGGTACAAAAACATCTTGATTTTGATATGTTTTTGGGGGGATCTAAAATGAGTTTAGATTTTAGGTTTGGAAAAGGTTTGAGCGTTTTTAATCGTGAATCTCGTCATGATAAACTTGAAAAAAATTTGATGTATGCTATTGAAGAGGTGGAAATTTTTAAGGTTTTAAAAAAGGTTTCTTAAAAAAAAATTCTTTTAAAAAAAAAAAAAGTCAATGCAATAAATTCTTATTAGTGTTTATATGTTCTGGGCCCAATTTCGTTTACTTGAAATAAATTATTTAAATATTAAATTGTGTTATGCAAGTAATTATTTATATGCACAGTATAATACTGTAATGCTGTAATGGTCGAAAAAATTAATTTATAGTACCGGTACTGTATTTAAAAGACCAAATTATTACGTATACAGCACAAAAATAATCTTATTTCTACGTATGAGAGTACGTATAATAGTACGTATAATAGTACGTATAATAGTACGTATAAGAGTACGTATAAGAGTACGTATAAGAGTACGTATAAGAGTACGTATAAGATTTCCATGACAGTTATCTGTGCTTCGCATGGCTAACGAAACATTGAGTTCAATGCTAAATCAATATATTAATCATTAAAATCGGTGTTGGATCAAAATCAAGGTTGTGATCAACATTAAGTTAACGTTAAATAAATATTGAAACGTTGAGTCAACGTTGAAGTTATAAAATTTTTTTATCGTTAATATAAATTTGTAATTATTATACAGTAATTACTATTATTAAATTATACCGATACGTACACGGTAATAGATGACAACCAAACATGGGAACGATTAGTTCGAGCTCGGCCAGTTATAATTACGTTATCAAACCCTTTCCGCAATTTAACACTATACAAGAATTAACTAATCCGCATATTCTGCATACGTATCAACAATTACGCTACGTAAAATGTATCATGAAATTCTATAACTGAAAATTTCTCTTTTTTAATATATAGCTTATCAAGAAAAAGATTCTCCATAAGATTCCCATATCTGATATTGGATGGAGTAACTCATTTCAACCATGATGTCTAAAATATGTAGAATATAGATTCAAATTGGACATCAACATTAGTTGTGATACTGTATGGTTGACACCCGTTAACTCCTTGAGTGGCTGATCCGAAATCTTATACTACCTTTCGATAAATGTTATTAAACGTTATTTTTTTTCTGGCAACCCTTCGTGATCTTGGATTCTGTTTTACATGATCTACATTTCTTTTCTTCTCCATAGTCATTACCTTGAGCAATGCTTGTACTATTTTCAAAACATAATGTTGATTACGTTAGCTTTCGGGATCATACTTGTTGCAAACCAGCGTCATTTCATTTAATAATTACAGAATTAACAGTACAGAATCAAGCAACATATCATCATTTCTTTTAAACCTGCTTAAAGAATCTGACATCTTTGTTTTTTTTTTCTAAAAAAAAAATATATACAGTATATTTTTTTTTAATATACAATATAAGAATTTGTAAAGGTATCTTAGAAATTATCCATAAGAGAGGAGAGAAAAAACCACATGATGTGAAAATAGTGAAAATAATGAAGAGATAGTGAAAAAAAATTATTGTTTCTACATATAATTAATTAAATTTAATCTTATAAGGAAAGGTATGAAAGTAGAATTTGTTTATTCAGAAGTTCGACATATAAAACATTGTGAAAAATTTCTGGTGTAAATTCAAGTAGTAAGGTAAATGGACTGGAATATGTGATAATGTGGGTCATATATTTTCGACATCATATGTAAAGTCAATATGAAATGAATGATTTTATAACAATTGTAATTTTCGCGAAGCCTTTTCTTTTTAAAAAAAGTGATATAGTGAAACTAATTTCGTTTGACTATAATAAAACAATTAAAAATTTGGTTTTTAAATAAAAGTGATAAATTCGAATTTAAATTTTCTTCAAATTCCTTTGTAACGAATTGGATACATTCACTGAATAGACTATACATACTGTATGTGCACATATGATTGGTTTATCGATAATTGGAGTCTTTGCCTTGAAAATGACCTTACGGGACTATGTAGATTTTATGAATAAAATTAAAATTTCTAACTATCCAGTAATCCAATTCAAATAAACTTTTTTTTATTTTGTTGTGCTTAGTAAGTTCTACAAAATAAAAATAAAAAAAAAATTATTTGAATTGGATTATTAGATGACTAGAAATTTTAATTTTCATTCATAAAATCTACATAGTCCCGTAAGGTCATTTTCAAGGCAAAGACCACAATTACCCGGCAACCACTTCTCGACAACTATTTTCCCGAAAAATATTTCCTCGTCATAACCATTTTCCCGACGACCATTTCACCGACAATCACTTCCCCGGAATGACCATTTCCCCAACAATCACGTCATGCTGGGAAATGGTCATGTCGGGGAAATAGCTGTCGGGGAAATGGTTGTCGAGGAAATGGTTATCGGGAAAATGGTTATGGCGGGGAATATTTGTCGGGAAAATAGTTGTCGGGTAATTGTCGGTAAATCCATATGATTATTCCACGTTTCTATATGATCGCATGACGGGGTTTACAACTTATAATCACTAGTTTAATCAGTAAAAAAATCGAGTTTCTAGCAATGTTTGTTATTTCCCCGGCAACGCTTGTTATTTCCCCGGGCTTCCGGGGAAATAACAAGCGTTACCGAGGAAATAACAAACATTGCTAGAAACTCGATTTTTTTTATTGATCAAAGTAGTGATTATGAGTCGTAAAGCCCGTCATGACATCATATAAAAACGAAGAATAATATCCTTATTTCGCCGCTACGGGGAAATAACCCGGTAGATCTCCACCCGCTGTGGGCCCTTCGGGCCCCCAGATGACCGGGGATGTACCTCTTATTCCCGCCGTTGCGGGAAATAAATAGTACTTATTATTAGTTATTAGCATAAAAAAATAGAATTTACTACGCCTTTAATTTCTCCCGTAATATTTAACATTTTTTAATTCTACGAAAGCAAAATGTTTAAGAAAGATTTTACTATATATTAAAATATAGCTTACTGGGGTGTCTACTCTCATGCGATTTACAACCATAATGCAGTAATGAGATGCAGTGGACGAAGTCACGAGATCACGACCCCCACCCATGACTTGTGCGTCGGGGAAGGGTAAGTGGTTTATAGTATGAGGTATAGTATGTATTATGTATTGTCTCATTGTTCGATTTGTAAGAATGATGCATTTTGGATGATTGATCGTATGAGGTCAATGTGAGGTCATAGTAAATGGCTATTTAAGAGGGGGGAATTTAGAAATCGATTTTCCCTCTTTTGTCTTTGCTGCTAGCTCGACGATAGTCTAGCTTCGTCGTTATCGCCCGCCCACCGAAAATTATGGATCCATAATCTTCCATAAGTTTTGAGGATAATCCTTAATTTTGGGGATTATCCATAAAAAACCAAAATTTTAGAAAATTTTATGCATGATTTCAGCGGTTTGATTGGTTACAGATCATATGCTTAATTCAAAATTTCGAGATTTTTGGAATGGCGAAATTTTGGGCAATAATTCAAAGTCACATGAATTACATGACATAACCCGAATTATGAAATTTAATTTCTTAACATGCCGGCTAAATCCAAAAATTTCCAAAATTTTTTGCGTTATCCAAAAAAAAAATCGGCGTCCCTGCCGCCCACCCACCACCGGGTAAGGTAGTGTTATGCATTCATGAGGCGGAAGGTTAGGGTAGGTCGATAGACCGGGCGAACAACCCGGATATCGAAGATGAGTGCTTTGATAGCCCGACCGAACAGCTCGGATATCAAAGAAGAAAGAGAGAAAGGGAAAATAGAATAGAAAAGGAACGATGCTAGGGAAACTGGGGACAACGTGAGCAGCGAGGCGAGATCCCATTTAGTATTTTCCGCAATGATGTGTTATCTGTACCCTGGTGATCGAGTGACAAATGCAGGCCACATAGCAAATCGTTGACCGGATTTTTTATTCGGTATATAGTTAGTTCTTTAAATAATACATGCTTTTTAAATTAGCAACTCCCCTTTTTATTTTATTTAATTTTAATAACATTATATATACTATATTAAGACAATAGTTAAAGAGCACATTAAAAGGACCTAGAAAATATAATTTCATTTATATATGTTTATTCGTTCAAAAAAAATCCCCCTGGCCAACTAATGAATCTGTATCGTACGATAGGAAACACTCCGGTAGCTATAATCTAAAAGATCTTTCATTAAATATTTTATAGAATTAAAAATGTAAAATACAGAAATATTACGGGAGGAATTAAAGGCGTAGTAAATTCTATTTTTTTGTGTAGCGTGCACATACAGGTATCAGATATAAGATATCAGAATCAGATGGGGCCTTTGCAATAGAAAGGGCCCAAACTCCCCAAAAATTAAAAATGAGTTTTTTCAAGATTCAAATAAATTTCGAATCAGGCTACATTTTTCAATTATAAATGGAAATTGGTTTACATAATAAAAAATTGAGATATTAAAAAAAAATCTTTTTAGAAGACTCATAAATCACGAGATTACCCGATATAACTAACCAATCATATCACAAAATTTTTGATGAACCCGGATCAGTCCGAAAAAGATAAACATGATTATCTCAAATTTATATATTTCCGAGTTTCGGCCCTTTCTACTGCAAAGGCCCCAGATATCAGACCAATCACATCTGATGAAGATCATTTGACATGATAGCCAATTAAAAAAAAATGATGGTTTCTTTTTTTCATAATTCCAGAAACATAGAAACATGGAATTGAATAACGTTGATATAAAATCGCTACCAATTAACATAAATTGTTTACAATGGTCTGAAGAGAATCATATTTCTGTTGTATCACCTTCAGGCATAGATATTTTTGTAAGTATTTACAACATAAATGAAGTTCAGAACGTTATCGTTATAATTAATCTTAATTGTTTTATAGATACCATTATATAGAAGCAAATATATTCGTAATGCTCTAGTAACATGTCAAGATTCTAGTGACCGAAATCCAATCAAGATTAATGGTAATTCACCTTCAATAGGAATACTTGTTTTGTGCATAACAAATTATTGATCCTCTATAAAAAAATTCAAGATTTTAATTCCACGCTTATAAAAGATATACCTGAAGTTTTCAAATGCTTAACTTGGTCTCCAATAGGTTGCTCTATCATTCAAAGGTATTTGCTTTATTTTTTATATTTAAAGTAATAAATACCCAATGAATTGATTTTTATATACTCATTCTATACGCAGTTGCTTATTTATTGTAATAACATCAAGATTTCATGTGGCAATATATGGTCCTAAAGATGGTCCCTTACAGAGAGATTGGATAGAGGTATTTTTATAACTTGGTTAATGGTCTTTTTTTTTGCACATGTTTTTCAAAATTAGCTATTCAGTTTACTACATAATAGGTTGAAAATATGTCACCTAGATTGTTACAGCAATACACAGAACAAACCGATGAGACCGATAAGACCTTGGCGGATAAACTACAATCCATATGTATGTCTTTTATTTCCATGCGCATTTACCCTTCATTAACTTTATTTTAATTATCATTTTACTCCAATGTCTCAGCTGTATCGTGGTCTCCTTTATGCTTTCCAGAAAGCTTTGACCCTTTTTCTGTAATAGCAATAGGAAGTAAAGCTGGTACTATAACATTATGGAGGCAAGTATATATATTATGTTTTTTATCTAGCGTTTTGTTCAATATTTATTACTAAAATTGATATTTATTATTTTTATATTATTATTATTATTTTAATAATCAATTTATGACTTAAGTTACAAAAATGGATTAGATTATATTTTAACAATGCAACCACATGTCTCTTGGGTTATAACATCATCTTGGTCGCGTTGGCTCGATTTGGGTCAGGATCAATGTATGATCTCAATTAATTAAGAAGTAATTTATTATTATCATATTAACCACAACATATTTGTGATTTTTATGATAAACAAAAGATGCATCAAGTTTTGTGACTGCTTCAGATGACGGTTCGGTTTATATATGGAGGATAACTATATCATTAATCCCTGTTATATCTTTGGGTATAGAGAATATAAAGATGCAAGCTTCAGTTGCTCTACACGCGACACTTTCTCAAGCTGACAATCGACCTGCATTAATAATGAAATGGTATGAATGTAATGTATGTACTATTGTAATATCCGAATTTTTGGTTAATGAAAGTATATATATATATATACATATATAAATAAACATCAAATAATATTGAACATTAGAATACAGGAGAAAAATTAGCTATAGTCAAAGGTCTCAAGATCTATATTTGGACATCAAACGAATCACCTTTAATTAATACAGATTTAGAACCTCCAATGATGTTCAAAGTTCCTTTATCTAAAGGAATAATAGGTGACATTTCATTAATAAAATCTTTGATACCCATTTATACCTTTATGACCTTCATTCAAATATGTCCTTTTTTTTTTTTAGCGATGATTTGGAATTATGATGGATCTCAGCTTTATACCTTCAATAATGAAGGTAATAATCTGACACTTAACGTCTCAGGAACATATATTGATGTTAATGAATCCACAACAAAGTATATCAATGACGTTCTGGCTACGAAGTGGCAATTGCAATATGAGGATAATGAGGATGAGGATGAAGATGAAGAATTTGATGAGGAATCTCTCTCTAATGAAAATGAGGGAAATGATGATATGTTATTATCAGAAGTTGAGCCTGTATACTTTGGAGCCGATGGCTCAGGAAATAGCCTTTTTTTTGCTGTTCTTTTTGCGTGAGCTTCTAATTTTATAATTAATTTCTGGAATCACATTAAAGAATCACGTTTTATTTACAAGCTTAATTAAATCTAGATTAGAAACATCCGAAACTCCATATATTACTGACAAATATGAAGTTTCCTATGTGACTTTTTGTCCAAGTGAAGATCCATCAAAAAATGGACTCATACCTTCATTGATCACAAGACTCAAAAACATGCTCGAAGATGCATATATCTGTAAGCTTTGCTATAGTAAATTAACATATTATTTTATAAAGTTAATAAAAATAAATAAAATTTTGTTTATAGTAGAGAGAAAATCTACAAATTATATTATGTGGGATTTATTGGAATATTGTGACCTTGAAAATGAATTCGATAAAAACGATTCATTGCTTCATCAATTGGACAACACTTGTTGGGATTGTTATAATAAATACACCACTTCAAGTTTCGAACTATCAGATAATGATGGATCTACTACAAAAAGTTTAAAGTAAGAAGATTAAATGTACCTTTGCTATCTAAAATCTTATAAATGCTGATTTCTATTTTGATTGTTATTTGATAAATTTAAATACAGTGAATTTTCTTTAATTGGTATTATCATGAAATGGAAAAATATACTTTATAGGGATCGTTCTTTAAATGCGCTTCGGTTACTCATGCATATTTATAGTAACGTTATGGTAAGTATATCATCGAAATAGACTTTATATATATATATGTATATATATTAAACGTGGTAAATGTCCGTAGAAGTGTTTAGAAGCTTCTTCGGGTTTTCAGTCGCAACTGAGTCCTGCATATGAAGATTGTTTGAAAAGAATTGAAAACTATTTCTTGAAACAAGTTTTGTCCACAATTGTAGATTGTATTAAATTTGGAGTTGCAATCAATAATGGTGAGGTTTTTGTTTATTAATTGAAATGTTCCGTGTATATCATATAACCAAATCAATTTGCTTATTTTTTTTTAGAACATGATCAATTATTCATTGTTTATTGGTGCGATTGGATTTTATTATACTTTAATGATGACAATGGTTTACTAAAATTAGCAAAGTTTTTATATGAATACTTGAGCACTTTACAAGGAAAAGCTAAAATATTTGGTAATTTTGAAACTGAAAAGGCTTGGATATCACAATTACTTTCGTCTAAAAAAAGTAAAAAAATTAACAAGGCACCAACAAGAGCATCATGTCCTGTATGTCAATCAAATATCCTTTATTTATTAGATCTCTTATTAAGAAGTTAATTCTAAATTTTTAAAGATATTTATTATTGTGTTCTTAATTCAATTAATACATGTATCATTCATGCGAGGTCCAACGGGCCAGTGCACCAAAGGACACACTTGGGGTAATATAGCATATGAATGAAATTTATTTATTTTGCATCATTTATTCACTTTTTTTTCAAATATCTTTTTTAGATCTTTGTTCTATAACTTTAAGTGTTGTGGCAGTTAAGAATGTGAGATCTTGCAATAATTGTAATCGTAAAATCTTGGCGATGCCAGACTTTCATAGCCCAATAGGCGAACAATCTATTTCATCATCAATAATTGTGAAAGCAATTTTTGAAACTTGTGAAAAATGTTTTTACTGTGGAGGTAATTTTATATTTCGACCAAGATAAGGTTAATAATTAATCGATAAGTTGTTAAAACCTATAACAAGTAGTAGTTTGCACAACTGTGCTTATTAATTTAATATATATTATGCTTTTATCTGTTTGTCAGTATGAACGTACACAAAATTTTCATATATTAGGCCATATAAAGTTAATTTTATGCTTCTCATAAACATAAAATTTTTAAAAATGCCCGACTTTTAATTTATTTCAAAAAATTATATATATAAAAACCATAAAATTTTTTTTATAAAAATTTAAAAAAAATTCACTTGGATAATAAATATAGTCAAAATTTTGAAAAAAATTTTGCTGAATTTACCCAGCCGGGTTATTTGAACCAATTACGTTTGTATAGCCTTACATATATACGTTTTATAAATTTTTTATTCACATGCTTGAATTCAATTCTCCAAGTTAAATTGACAATCTCATCTTCGATGAACTGATTTCGTTAAATTAAAATATCGTTATTTTATTAAGAATAAAAATTGCATAGTGTCTAAAGATTTTAATTAGAGTCAAAAATCTTAAAATCGATCGATGGCTGATTTCCTTCCATTCCCTATATATTCATAGTACTGCTAGTTTATAATATTCTATATTGGTGAGAAATTCAGAGGAACGAACTCATGTTGATTAAAGCGAAAATTGCATTATAATAAGTGTAATATATTGATATATGGGGTCTTTGCCTTGAAAATCACGTTATGACATATAGTAAATCATAACGTGATTCTCATGGCAAAGACCCATATGCTATTTGTCAGACATTTAATGGAAAGGTAATCAAGTATTTGATAATGATCTTAAGAACTTATATTTTTAAAAGCTAATTAATTGAGTGGTTCGGTTAAGCAGATAGACAAATACGATTTGTGGTGTTAATTAATAGTGTAGACAAAGATACTAGTAAAGAAAGGGTGATGCTGAAATAGAAAAGGGTTATTATTTAAAATAATTAACAAGATGTAAAGTTTCGTTAATAAATTATTACATGTATTGAATCGGTAAATTAGCCAACCTTATGAATGTCTTCCTATACACGGTGTAGACTGACAAATGGGCACCGGCATCAGCACTGGAATAAGTTTAAAAAAAAAACTGAAGCACTTCTGCACTAGTATTTTACAACTTAAATCTATCATCTTAGAATATGACACGAGATGGTTAGATAAACTCAAATATTTTACTGTAGTTAAATAAATTTCATTAAGATGAATATGACACAGATACAGCACAACATATACGGATAACATAAAAAAAATTCAACTAATTAACGTTACGTAAAATCATATACAGTACTTTGTATTAAATTTTTTAAGCAAAATTTTATTTCATTTTTATTATTTTACTACTGTATTACAACAATAAATACATTATTTAATAAACTTTATTTATCATTAAATCGTTAAATACACGTCACTCTCGATATAATGGACTCTTGATATGCGGAGACTAAGTAAAATCTCGATATAATGGATAATAAATACTATATACTTGATATAATGGATTTACTAGTAAAACTCACTATGTGCCCGAGGTACTACGTTATATCGAGAGTGACGTTTATTATTCAAAAAAAATATAGAGAAACTTAGTTTCAGGGAAAATCTCTTACTTGTCCCAAACACCACGGAAAGGTGTATCTCATTGGTTGGGAAGGTGTTTATCGGTACATGAAGGTTATTTATCAAACTTCTTAGAAACTTGTGTTGTCGCGCCAATAAACACTCACCCAGTACCCAACACTATTCACTATTTCATCCAGAATCTCCCGACTAGAGGAAGGTTGTTCTTATAACATACGTTTTACCAATTCGCCAACAATTTCCACGTGGTGCCGGGTATGAATCATCCGGTGTACTCTGTATCCTCTCTCATGAACCTTTTTGCTAATAACAGAATAATGTCACAAGAAAGATATGGTAGCAAATTACTGATCTTCAAACTAAACTTTCACGTGATGGAGTATCATGTAATTATATTAATTATATTATTGGCTAATTTGGTGGACTGACAAATCACATGAATTCTAGAATTCGCCACTGCGTGTAGGGAAGCATGTCATTAATTTGATTTATAAATTCAATTAACTAACTTCAAGATAGCATAAATTTAATAATTTTGTATATGTTGTGCGTCAAACTTTTTTTTATTTCGGAACTCCGCTTTGGAAACAAACGATATCAAAGTATTATCGTTATAAGTTGTTTCTTGAAAATGAAATTTCACAATTCCAGGTTTTCTCTTGGTGGCATTCATATATAGTAGAAATAAAAACTATTTTTTACATGTTTTTGCAATGAAATTAATCACGCCAAATAGGATTATATCCACTGAGTATTTATTATCATTTGTCACTCGATCATACAGGCATACAAAAGCACAACTGCGGAATACAACTATATGGGATCTCGCCTCGTTGACCACGTGATCTACAGCTAGTTCCCTAGCATCGTATTTTTTTGATATCCGACTCCTCCTCAACACTTTTATCGCCCTCAGCGGTGGGTGGGTGGGCCATTTACGACAAAGTTAGACTGCGCCGAGCTAGCAACAAAGACAAAAGAGGGAGAACTAATTTCCATTTCTTCTCCCTTAAACAGCCATCTACTATGACCTCATACTTACATCACCTATTCTATCAAAGCGATATTTCATCATCCAATACTTACTATGAATCTGGGTCATGATCTCATTACAAATGGATGCCTCGTGACTTCGTTCACGGCATCTCATTAATGCAATATTTTATTTTGATTGTTGCATAAATCCAAAAAAAAAAATAATAAAAAATTAAATTACATTCTTTTGGATATATTGTATAATTCGGGTAATGTCATAAATCAAGCCAAGTTCCGAAATATTCGGAGGTCGAGGTAAAATTTTGGCCCGATTCCGAAATATGGAAAAAACATATCCCGCATCCCGCGCGAGATTTTGAAACTGCCGATTGCCCATTACTACTTTTGGCCTAGCTAACGGATAAAATTATGTCTTTTTCGAAATGAAGTTCTAGACTAGTTAACGTTAAAGATCAATTCCGAATTAGAGGTTGTATAAGATTTGAGCTCCGGGTCACTAATCGGGTTGTTTCAAATGACTCGATTAAACCGGATAACTCGGTTGAGTCGGTAAACGATTGAGCTGATTTATGTCGAGTCAAATTTAATAGCCTTTATCTAATCATACAAAATCGCTGATTCCTTTAATTTGTCAAATAAAATCCATTCGATTATAAAAGCAAATCGAAAAGAAAAATCATAATACAGAAGAGCTATCAATGCAAATTAAAGACATAATATGTTCATTCTTATAAATTCTGAGGTTAAGGTTGCCTGCTGTAATAGGTTCAGTGAAGTTGGAAGGTTGCAGCCTTTTATTCTAAAGATGTAATTTTTTACTGTAATGGGTGTAATGGTCGTAATTGGTATAATGGTTGTAATAGGTGTAATGGTTGTAATCAGTGTTGAAAATCTTATGTTCTCATGAGAACATGAGAACATACCTTTAGATTTGAGGACATTTGATATTCTGTAAATGTTCCCTATAAAAAAAAATTTGAAAACATAATACTCGAAAAATACGTTCTCTATATAAGTATAATATAAGTATAATAACATAATACCAGATGGAAATAAAATTAGAAATTGAGCAAAATTCCAAAATCATCCGAAAAGAAAATGAATGAACATAAAAAGACGACAAAATTTGAATAAATGTTCTATATTTTTCGAAATAAGAAATTTTAAAAAAATAGGGATATAGTAAATTTACTGCAAATTATCATAAATAACTTTGTTCTCATGAGAACATAAATCTCAAAAGAGATTTCCAACACTGGTTGTAATAGGTGTAATGACTGTAATAGACGTATGAGTCTGGTTAAATCGAGTCAAGAAGGATTAATTGCTTATAGGCAAAGAAAATAGCTACAATCTGATCAAATTATTTATAACGATAGGCATTGAATGAGAAGTCGAAATTAAAGTATAAACATAAGGCATTACTTTACTTTCAAAAATTTGCAGGTGTGGGTGATGCCTATAGAATTACTACACTTAATAATTCGATTGTTATTATCATAATTATATCCAACACTTATTTGTTACAGCTGACAATTACAATCATTATGGTATTACGACAATTACAACCATTATGACATATTGCAACTTTTGGTATAACTAGGTTGTAATTCGTAAAGTCCATAATTATTACTTACAGCTGGCAACCTTATCTATTTTTACATGTTTTAATTGTTATGCCTCGGATCCCATGCTTTATCTTCGCTATGATGTGCACATTTTGTAACAAGAATTCCTTCGTGATAAACTTAAATTTAAATGAAACAATGTTTATTTATACTCTGACTAACGCGATAAATAGTAAAGATAATAAGCTTGAATAATTTACTTTAATCTTAATATATAATTGTTTTTCACAATCTAAATGAAATTATAAATAATAAATGTTCATGAAGCTGAATACATGAACTAGAATAACTTATCTTGAAAGCATAGATCAATAAATTTTCTTTTATACTCATGTACTAAATTATCGCAATAAAATGAAAATTAACAGTGGATATTTCATATACATGAATAATTTATTTTTATACTGATTAATAAATGTTCTTTATACCCATGCACTAAATTAACATGAATATTAATTAAGTTATAAATATTAATGAACTTGATATTTTATCTAAATATCTATGAACTTGGATACAGTAACTTAATATTCTTTATACAGTAAAAAAAATTATAAATAGTAAATATACATAAACTTGTATAACTTATTTTGAATGCTTAAATCATTAATAAATGCTCTTCATATCCATGTACGAAACATTAAATAGAACGTTCGACTTATTTAAGCACTATATACTCATTTGTAATCTAGAATAACATTAAATGCAAATACTGTAATATGTATTTGAATTGTTTACTTTATAACTTAGATTTGTGAATATTCTTGTATTTACAGACTAAAATGAAATTTAA